TATATATTATATATTTTCAGTGTGGGACACAGTGTCAGGTGTGTAACAATATCATAGAACAGAGAGGTTGAAATAAATACTGTACAAGGATGTTGAGGCTCATCAGCCATAAGCATCTTTTGTTGCAGTTTGGATATTCTGAGCCCAAGAAAGCAGGAAATAGACATTTTAAAATTTATTTTTCAGAAAATGTACAAAGATGAAGCAGAGAGGATGCTCTGTAACTATTCAGCTGTCCCAGACACTCCAGAGATGGAGAGGATGAAAAGTACTCAGAAAAACATCAGTTCAGTGAGTAATAGTGCTTCTCTCTTTGCTTGCAACTTTGCAGATATTTTTCAGTTTAAATAGGCTCTCTTGTGCTGCAGCATGAAATAGGGAACTTGTTGAGTAAATGTCCTTTGAACCATTTGCATAATTTTCCTGGCAAAAGCTGTATCACTCATTTCTTTCAGGAAAAAAACCCCCAGCTTTTCTAGGTGTGACACTGTTATTTTGAATTGCTAAACCACTTATACCGCTTTGCCAAGCCACAGTTATTTTTAAATGAAGATTTTTTTTCTTTTTCCATCAAGCCCAGGAAGTATTTTATTTTGAAAGGACAAAAAAATCTAAGGCTTGTTACTATGCGTATAAGATTTTTCATTTGTTTCCTATCATATGTACAGAACATCAAGATTCAGGTATAAAATTAGAACAGATCAGGTTTCATAAATATGTATGTCTAATGACTTTATGTTATACTGGATATATTTTTAAATTTTATGCTAGATTTAATTTTCAGTTTATCCATAAATATCACTCTTTCAGCTTTCTGTGCAATTTAGATTAAAAAGGTAAGTTACTTTTTACTAAGTTAAGATATAGCTGGGAGCAGCCCCAATATAAAAAAATTAATGACCCCTAATAGGCTTCTGATTTTTGGATTTCGTCTCAAGTATTTCCTGCCTTAAGGGACAGAAAAAGTGACTAGCTCTGCAGATAAGATCAGTGCTGCTTTTAGCTCACTAGCTCATTTGGCAGATGATTTACAATAGGATATTTACTGCACAGTCATCTCTTCGTAGAAAAATTCCCAGCTCCAACATTTTTTACCACTCCCTCCTTGGTAGAGGAGAAAAGTATATTTTAGTTCAGTCCACTATGTAAATCTTTCTACCTTGTACTGACATGTTGGTGCAGAAGAATTTTCAAGTTCTTACTCACAAACTGTCTCTGTTCTCACATGGTAAAACAAAATTCTAAATTGTTAAAGGTTTTCCGAATGTTTAAAAAATGAGTTATGGACATAAATAATTCACTCTCCTCTAGAGTATTTGGCAGTACTGGTCACCCTAGGTTACAGAAGACTTCAAGGAACTAGGAGAAATGCATCAAGAATGATGTTTTATTGTTTAAGGTTTATTGACAGGAAAAAAAAAGTTAAATAAATCTTGGTTTAAGAAAGGCAGAAATACTAAATGGTAAAGATTTATTTTACAAACTCCAGGATCAGACTTGTTTTTACGTTACCAGCCTGGAAATACTTAGTGGAATGGCAACAGCTGTGACACCAAATACTGAAATTCGAATAAAACTTCTTTAGGAGTTTTGCAGCGTGAACTGGTGCTCCATGGTTATTTAAATTACAGCCACATTTGGAATTTGTGGAGCAGTTATTTACTGTCTCTTTCAGTAACTTTGAATGATTGATTCTACTGATGCACTTTGTGTTTTATCCTTCACTGAAACAATTGAAATAGAGAGGAGAATTATATAAGCAGCATGTATATCACAAAGGAGTGATCTTTGTTTTTAGATGCAGTCCTCAGCTTTCTGGCTTGAACCCAGAAATCAAAAAATTGCGTGACTTGGATTGTAGCTCTGTCTGTTCTAGTTATTTTGTCATTAATATGTCGATTTTCTAGTTTGCTAAATTAGAAATAATAAGATCTGTTCACTTCTCAGAGTATTTTAAGCTCTGAAGGTTAAAAAAACAATTCATATGTTGCATGTACATACATGTTCAAATACATTGAAATGAGTGAGATTACGCAAGCATAAAGTTGCATTTGTAAACGTTTATGATCAAAATTTTAATATTATTTGCAAAGTTAAAACTATCATTACAAATACTTACAATACTTATAAATGTCTGAGTTCAGTCTGAAGGATGATAATAGATTATCTGGGTTACAGTTGAAAACAAACAGAATGTTGTTATAGTTATTGAGAATTGATTTATGAAAAATTGAAGTATTTGCTTTCTTAGCTAGATTTATAGTCACTTGGAAAATTGCCCAGCCCTTTTATGAGAACTTGTACTTGCGCTGCTAACAGTCTCATAATTACTTTTTCTTTTGGGGAAATGAAGGTGTTTTATAAGAAGGAAGTAGGAGCCGGCACAGCTGTAAAAGAGACTCCAGAGATTGAAAGAGTAAAGAAAAATCAACAGAATATTAGTTCGGTAAGTGTTATTAACATTGATTATTCTTATGTGAGTAAATGGTTGTCAAATTTTTTTTCACCTTGTTTACTAAAAATTCTACGTTTTCATATCACACATCTCATTCAAATACTACTCCACTGGATTTTGGATATAGAGCTCCATTCTAGTAGAGTTAGAGCTCCACTCTAGTGTAGTTCTTCCGTGCCCAAAGGTAGAATTTCAAATTGAAGCATCATGAAAAACAGGAAGAACTGTTAACTAAATATTTGAGGAAAGAGTTTTGTCTTTCGAGAGTAAGAAACATGAAATGTATTTCGTGATATGACAGACTGAACAGCGGTTGTAATTTGCAATTTAGAAAAATATCACATCACAAAAAAGAAAATCTGTAAAGTTCCTGTAGAGTCCGCATGTATTACATAGGGGTTGGTACAGTTTGCACTTCAAGAAGAGGAAAATTATGTCAAGGCTCGAGCTATGTGAAAAGGTCGAGGGCTTGTGCCTCTTTATATGCTGATGACAAGTTGATCTGTGGATCTGATGAGACTGGTTCTGCATTGGTGTTGTTTATCTATGGATGCCCAATGTCTTTGGCACATGAATGGGCAACTAAAAATAAAATATCAAAATGAGAGTTTTCTACAAGTAGAACATGCTGTTCTGATAAATACGTGGCAAAACCTGGGGAAAAAGTGGAAAAGTGACTGCCAGGTAAGAAAGCACTTCTAGCTGCATTGTTCACTTGTTTGGAGTTTTTGGTGCAGAGTCCTCTGGGGCCATTTTTATGTTTGTGACATGACTTTTCTGATGATTAGATGCTTTTTTAAAAGCAAAGTTTGAAAGTAACGCATAGACATGACACCAGATTGTGTTTAAATATTAGTTGAAATCCAGATTAGGGCCTCTGGACGCCTACTAGAATTTTCTTGTTTACCAAGTAGTGTTAAATTCTGTATTTCCCACCAAAATAAGGTCAGGTAGGGAATTCCCATAAAATTTTTCAAAACTCATATTTTCCTTGGAATTTTTCTCTGCTCCATCCATCACTTTTTGTCTTGTCATTTTGAGTCACGGTGCAATTTGAAGATTCAGTGCAAGCTATCATGTGTCCTAAATCCTGAAATAGTGTTTCCTGTTTGAGAAGCTGTAGGTTTTCTTGATTTGAGGGTGGGTTTTTTTGTTAGTGTTTTTTGGGTTTTTTTGTTTGTTTTTTCTCCCCACCCTGTGCAATTATGTTTTTGGTTTTTTTTTTAGCCAGATTTGTACTGGTGTTCTAGAAACAAAAACCTAATCTCCTGTTACCTATTTGATTTCCAGTTACCACAGACATTTATTTCAAGAGTAGTCACGCACATGCGCGCGCACACACACACACAGAGGCTTAATCTAATGCTTTTTCTCCATGCCTTTCAAAGTGAAATGGAAAAATAGTGTACAGTGCTCTTGCTGTTTTAGAATCCTAAACAGTGGTGAAAAGAGGAAAATGAAAGGTGGATCAGTATGCTAGTAAACACACTTGAACAAAAGCATATCAAGAGAAACACAAAATGCATTGGTGGTTTAGTGGTACAATGTAAGTAGCATGGCCTTTACCTTGATAGTCTGTGTGTAGAGTTAATATTTTACAAAAGATATTTTATTACATGTAGTGTACTTGAGATTACTTAAGTCTTGTACAATATTTATTAAAAGTGTAGAATGCCAAATTTAAAGGCAACGTGCAAGAAAATTTTAAATTATATGTTAGTAAGAGGGAAATCATATTGTGTAATTTACAGGAGTCCCGAAGGAAGGGTAAATTACACCAATTTTGACTCCATTAGATTTAAACATTTTACACATATCTTTGTATGTAGCCAGAAGGACCGAGGACAGCTTTAAAACTATTTGCTGAGCTAAATGAAACTATGGAACGTGAAGCACATCTGCAGTGCAAAAAAACCCAGAACACCAAACCAAAATAACACTCACTGTACAACCAAACCATGCAAAAAAGTCCATTGCATCATGTTCTGAAAGTGATCAGATTCTTCCAGATGACATATATCGGAGACAAGGATCAGAACGGTCTGTTTTCAAATCCTAAAAAACAAGGTGGTGACAGCCAAGGGGGTTGAGCTCATCTCACCTGTTGTGATGATTGGTTTGGAAGAAGCAGCCTCCTAAATAGTTGGAGTCAAGATCTCACAGAACTTTGAAAGCAAACATCAGACCTGTGGACTGTAACTGAATCTGAACCGAGAAGCTACAAATAACTGAGGATTTTTTTAAAACATTGTTTATATTGAGGGACAGTCAGGGCTGGACACAGCACTGGGAAGAAGGCTTTCAGGGGAAGATTGTAGTTGTGTTTTTGTTTGTGTGAAATCCATGAGGAAACTCCTGTGATGTGTCAGTCAACACCACAAAGCTGGGGTCTGATTAAAACTCAAGCAACAGACATTATGAAGCATTTTAAGGACTAGTAGCACTGCCAATTCTTAAGCTTACCTAATAGTCTCTATTAAAAGACCCTTTTTTCCAGTGGTTTAGTACTTCTGCCAGTCCTAAACTATCTGGACTGAAATTTTCCATTCCTGGTCTGTGTTTTGAGGTGGTTTGGTTTTATGTATTTATTTATAAATTTCAACCAAAGCAGCTTCCAAGTATGACCTTAGAGAAAAACAAGTTGTTTTCTCTGTGTTAAAAAATTTGGCACTCTCCAAAAGTACCATGTCTTGGAGAAGAGAGTTGAAAATTACCTATTAAGTGACATTTGGTACAATGGATTTGGGAAAAAAGAGGCCAGGGGTGAGGAACTGGAAGTGTAGAAGGGCTTGGTTAAAGTGGACAGGCCAAATGTGGGGAAAGACGGGCAAAGTGATGTGCTCCTGTGCATAGGTGCTTCCTTCCAGAAGAGCTGAACCAGAACCCAGGGTCGTTTAGACTCATCACTCCCTCACTGTCAGCGTGTATCTGAGGTACCCTGGGTCAAATAGTTTCCCTTTCTTTAATGGTGGTGTCCACAGAGGTAACCAACTATGATTGTTCTTATGGATTTGTGCAGTCAATCTAATCAAACCACAAGAGGCTTAAGATGAAGGCGCATGAAGCAATGTACATTTGTAGTTTTCTAAATCATGAGAAGTCGACTCCCCAAGAGGTACCTTTAGGGAGTATTATTAAGGTCACTAAGTCAATACTCAAAAGCAAGAACCTGAATTCAAGTCACTGTGTCTAGACCTGATGATCCATTGTCAAAGTATATGATTTTGTACTTTGCCATGGAGGCAGACCTGCTCTGGTTTTCCGTTTTGCAAACTACAGTTCAATGGGAATTCTCATTTGAATGCAGGTGCTGTATAATCCTATGTTTTATAAAATTACGTAGCTAGATTAGCTGTTACTTGTCTATGCTCTCTAGTAAAAATAGTACTTTTCCTTGTCACAATTCCCTTTTTCCTCATTTCACAGCAAAATTATTGAATTAGTGTGTGTGAAAAACTCAGATGCTTTAGCGAGGAGCAGCATAGAAAAGTTCCTGAAGAAATCAGTAATTCTGTCATCAAAGCAGGACCTTAGAGCAGTTAAAGAAAAAAAAAAAAAATCAGTCATGGCCCGCATGCAAACTACTCACTAAGTAAGGTTCATTGATTATGTGTAATGAATAAGGCAGAATTCTCTTGAGAAAAACAGATTTTGGTAATAGATAAAGAAGATTATAAAGCACTTAAAGAGGAGAAGAATGAAGTAGTATAAAATATATTAAAAGCTGTATATGGAGTATATTTGTACAAGGGGCAAAACTAAGGTTACATTTAAGTTGTGTCATTTTCTGGTTTTTGAGTCCTTGATGTTGCAGCCTTGAAATGTGTTTAACAGAAGTTTTGTATGCCACATTAATATAAAGCTGTACAAATTGATTCATTATGCTGTTCCCTTATTATTAAAGTACCTTTCCTTCCTTGAGTCTTGCTAATGAAAAATGTTTCCAACTCTTATGTATCACCGCACACATAATTTTGAATGTTTTTGTGAATTTTGCTGTTTTATTACCATTGTAAAGAAAAAGAAAGCATGCCATATCACTGTAAAGGATGGCATGGTCTACAAGTATTGTTTATTTTACGGTGGCATAAGAGACTTGAAGCTGAATGTGCTGAATACGGGACAGGTATTTAGTAACAGACAGTAAGACAAAGACAATGCACAGATTTGTCCAAGATGACCCTTTTGGACAGCATATGGAAAACCAGAAAATATGGTGCCTTTCTTTTTAGTACCACATCCACTTAACCTTACAATTCTTTCTCATTAAGTTGAATTCCAGTTTTGGTACATATGGTGTATAATTGAAGAAATTCTAGTTCTGTGCATCTCTCAAATTATGGAGTCTACCATATCCAAACATACTGCTGTTTAGAAGAGATTATATGTGGCAAAAGCAACAGTAAATATCTGACAGCATCTTCAAAGGCATCATCCCCTGCATTCTCCCTGGTGTATCTCTGTGTGTTTCTAGAGAACTTGAATGAGACTTCGAAGTCATCCACCTTTTTAAGAACACATCTGTGAAATGTTTGGTTTCTGAAATGGACTGGTAGACTCCGAACCAACATAATAGCATGAGCAAGTCATTGTCAGAGTGATGCAGATCTCCAAGTAGTATATGCAGGATCCCAATTATCATGAAGATAGCTACATTTCCTGCTGTAAGAGTTTTAGGATACTAGGCTTGTTATATGCACTCTCTGCTGCATTGTATCAAACAAGATGCATTGGAGACCCCAGCAGCCTGTTTCAGAAATCAAATATAACTGTTCCTTTTCAGGTCAATAGTGTTGATAGGTGTGGTCTAGCTGTGCAGTAAGTGTAAGGGAGGGATTACAAAATGTTTGTTGTGTTTTAGTGCTTGTCTATATCTTCTTTGAATTGCTAATATTTTGTAATATTTGTTGTGCAGATTAAATACAAGGAAGAAATTCAGCATGCAACAGCTATTTCTGATCCACCCGAACTAAGGAGAGTTAAGGAAAACCAGAAGAATATTAGCAATGTGTGCCCCATTTTCATTGCTTGCACACTCCTCCCTGCTGTACTAAATGTGTTTGTGCCTCAGTGAATATGTCTGTGGTGTTTGTGCGAGTTCCTGTTTGTCCACAAAGACTAATTTAATCAATTAATGGTAAAATGGTAACTCCTTAGCCTTGCACTTTGATTAACATCAATGAGAGTGAAGTATTCCTGTTGAAGTATCAATTGTCTGTGTCTGAAACAGAACTGCAAGAGGGTGAGTACCAAGTATCATGTGGAAAGATGTGAGTTTATTAAGGAATGGTATTTTCCATCCAAATGCAGTGTGCTCTTTAATGATGTCTAACACACTGTTGTATTTCTGTTACTTGGAAGTCTCTGTGTAATATCTTCTGCCATGTTTGCTAGGTTCAGTACAAAGAACAGCTCTGCAAAGCTACACCTGTGAGTGTCACCCCTGAGATCGAAAGAGTCAAGAGGAATCAAGAGAATGTCAGCATGGGAAGTTGCTCTCGTTTAATCCTTTGTATAATTTTTGTGTGCAGAGGATGAGTACAAAGTTCTGCCTCCAGAAGCTCTGCCTTTTCTTTAGTTAGGTGCGAGCTCAGTAATGGAATTACTTGAAAACCCTCTTTTAGGACGCAATTGTGAAAAGCTGTTGCTTGGTTTGGGAAATGGCACGCGAAGCATGACATAGTCGATTAAATAAATGGCTGCGATGTTTTGCAATGTTATTCTCTGTCTTGGATATTTGCAGGAAATCTTGACAGTTTTTTTTTTTAAACAGAATATCCTTTTCCAGCTTTTTTTTTTTTCTTTGCTTTGTAAAAGATTGGCTACGGTTGTACTCAAAGTCCAGCTCTCTTACCTGTCTCTTCCTGGTTCCTCAGTAATCTTCCTATCAGAGTTTAGTATTTAACCATTAGAAAGTCATACTGTTTGCAGGAGTGCAGGGAAGAAGGCAAGGACTTTTGGAGCACACTGCTGCCTTCCTGCATTGTTGAAGTTGTACCCCGTTAATGGGTTTTTGAGAGACCAGCTATTCTCCTCACTGGGAACTTCCTTCAGCAGCCGTCTTTCATGGGGCTACTAATAGCTACAGTGTTTTCCTGGAGTGTTTTCTGCCACATTCCCCAAATTAATTTAGAATTACAATTTTCAAGAATACTGTCCCTCTAACTTAAGTGTATGCTATTTATTCCTGGATTTATGTTGATAAATCTAGGTCTCCTAAAATGCACGGTGTTCAAACAAACCTGTTTTCCCAAGTGATTCAAGCCAGTCTGCGTGGTTGTTCTACTCACATCATTGTTTGCCTTTCACCAATTTTTGTGTCGTGCAGATTTCATTGGAAAGTTTAAATTCTCTTTCAGGTCACTGGAATAGCTTTGGGTGAAGATTCTTTAACTTCAGACATTTCTAGAAACATTAAGTCTTGAATAATCATTTTACCTTTACAAATGTCAGTTTGCAAGTTTAATCCATTTGGTAGCTTACCATCATTTTTATAAGACATTAATTTTTCAGTTGGAATATGTTGATGTGGACAGACCAAAACTGTGTTGTGTGGGCAGACAATTGCTTGGACAATATGTACGTTACTGCTGCAGTGAACTGCAGAATTATGAGCGTAATGTATCAGCACAGTTATCCTTATCACACAAAACCAAGAGCTTATTTTAAAAAAAAAAAAAGGTTTTTATGGAAACATTTATTTTACATAAAACTATATGGATTGGCATAAACCATGCAAGAATTTCTAATTATTTACTAAATGTTTACCATATCTGACTTCCCAGTATTTGGGGCCAGGGTTAACATTAGACTGATTGGTCTGTCAATGCCACATCCTATCCTTTATTCGCTTTAGATACTGATCCTGCCTTGAGTGTGCATTTGGTTAATGCGTTATTGCTACAAGTGTATTTTGTTAAAAAGCAATAGAGGGGATATTCCTATAGTACATTTAAATAAACACATGGTGAAATTTAGGCAGTTGGATTGAATTGGCAGTTGTCTGATGTATTGCAGCCACTGCGTTTAATCACCTTTGAATATACAGAGTATAAAAGTTAGAACATGCATGGTATCCTTATGGAATCTCTATGTCTGGACAAATATACATTTACAGTGGACATTGCTGAAATTTAGTTTTTCATGTGCTCTGCTTGACTTCACTGCATTATTTGTGGCTTACCCCATTCCAAATATAAGCTATTTCTCTATACAGCCAAGGACCAGTGTTGTAAATGTCAAGATGTGTGCATATGTGTGTACATATCCACACAAATATATTAATAAGAAAACTATACAGAAAGAATTCAAGATTATGCTTCAAAAATCAACTCTTATAAGCTTTAATAAACTTCAGATGCATTTTAGCTTTTGTTTCCTGGATGACCTTTTAAATCATAGATTTTAATGTAAAACAATGTGATATTGCTTTAGCTGAAATAGTATGTATACCATTTTATTCTGTTAAATAATAGGTTCACTACAGAGAGCAGCCTGGCAAAGCTACTGCTGTGAGCATCACTCCTGAAATAGAGAGAGTCAAGAAGAATCAAGACAATATCAGCTCGGCAAGTTGTTTGAATCTTTTTGTCATTTAGATTTTCAGTCATTGTAGGAATATAACAAGAACATGCTTTTCCATTTAGATTTGATGTGTCAAATGAATCCAACTGCATCATCCACTGAATGGATTTTTTTTTTTTATCCTTCGAGTACATGCACTGCACATATGGGCAACAAAAATATTCAGGCTTGCCTAATTATTCTTGCAAAAGAAGTAAGTGGTTGTGTTGGAGCCAGTATTTTTCAAGAAGAGAATCAGTAGAGGTCAGTCATTCTTGCAAGAATCTTCATCTCGTTACCAAGTTTTAGTTGCTAGATTGCAGGAGTAAATTACTGTAAAGAACAAAGGAAGTGAGAATTTAACTTTAGTGCAAATTTCTTTTTTTTTTATGATTCAAAGCATGGAAACATATAGTCATCCATTCCACTCTGTGACCTGCCACCTACGTTAGAGCTGAGTAGTCCTAAATAGATCCTATTACTAAACACTAAAGGGTAAAATACTATATTTTTCTTGGCTTTTATGATAATACTTACCTTTTTTTTTTCTTTTTTTTTTTTTTTTAATTGCCACTGGAGTGGTGTATGAAGCAGCTGACAGTTCTAATAAGGAGCAAGGAAGAAGTCAAAACAGCATGGTGAAGTAAAGGACCAGACTACTTACATTACAGTCTGTGTCCTCAACACTGAAACAACATCAGTGACAAAGCCCCTGCAGATGGTAAATAGAACAGGTTTCATGCAGAGCCACTGTTTCAAGGTGGCAGAAGAGAATTAATAGCAGGGAACACTTTAGAACTGAGTGTAGGAGTGAAAAGTAAAGTAGGTTGGATTTGTCAGAGGATTTGTCTAAGGACAAAAGAACAGAATCTGACCTTGTAACCACATATATCTTTACATTCTTAAAATGCTCATGCATATTTACCAAAGTCAATTAGTTTTGAGGTGCATAGTTAAAAATAAGAGGAAAACTTCCCAACAATTCTAGACTTTAAATAATTTTTTTTATTTCTGAAAATTAAGCTTTTTTTTCCAAGGGACTCCTTCACTTTGTTTCTCAAGATTTACAGGGATAAATACTCCTCTATGTTAACGAGCAGTAGATGAAAACCAAACTATGTTGGCTGTAATTATTCTGTCCAGAAAATATCCAAAAGCATATGTAGCTGAATATATTTGCTAAAAAAATTTATTGTTGAATTAAGAAGGGTTTGAAGAATATGCAGTACCATATATTTCTGTTTCTCTGTACATTACTTCAAACTTACCTATGAAGCATAGACACCAAGACTCATATTTTCATAGGTATGTTGTGCTTAGCTAATTATGTAATTTTAAGAAGGGTTAGACAATTTCAATACTTGGTTTCCCTCATCACAAATGCATGTTGAAATAGATTTGCACAACTGATTTGAGAGGTAATTCTTTTAGTGTGAATATATAGGTAAATCTAAAATATTTACTAACCCGCAGTGCACAGGTTACAATGCAATGTAGGAGCTAAGAGAGTCCTTTAGTAGAAGAATTCAACCAGCCAGAAGAAACTGTAAGAATACTTACTCTAGAACCAATAAGTAGGACCAACTACTTCTACTGGTTTAGAATTTTGAGTCTGGGGTTTTTTTTTTTGCCCTTTTTTTTTAACATATAATTAACGTTGCATCTTTACAAGTCTGTAAAATGCCACAAAAGAAGCTAATTGGGAGAAATGTGACATAGGAGGTTCTGTACTTACTGGTGCACAAAACACAGAGCCCAAATGTTCTCTTTGAAAACAGCATATTCAGATGTGTCCCAGACATGTTGCTTTTGTGCTGCTAGTGAAGACTAGCTACTGAACAGGAGTAAGAAGGCTGCCAAAGGACTAATCCGCTTGTAAGAGTTGAATTCCCTGGGGATCAAGGGGTTCTTGGTTAATCCCAACCTGGAAACAGACTGAGGACAGAATCTGGGTTTGTGTGGGTAATAAGAAGGTAGCTTATCATCAGCCATACAAATACGGTTTAAAGATGTCCAAGTCACAGTGGTGGTTTCTTCTTATTTATCTTATTTTTCAGTTGATAAATGAATTATTTCACTTATGTCAAGAGTTTCAGCTTTCAGGTACTATTTTTTTGAGTAAGTGATTGATGGAATAAAGTGCCCTTTGGCCTTACCAACATACTAGCTCATCCGTATCCTCCCTCTGAAATAAGTTACTAGAAAATCAGTGTGAAGAAAGAAACGTTGGGCATTGTGATTTGGAAAGGATACCATTGCATGGTGTGATTCTCACCGTCCTTTCTACTGTAAACAAAAACTTCATGTGTACTGTTGCTGTTTTGCAGGTCAAGTACAGCAGTGATCAGAGGCAGATGAAAGGTAGACGTAGTGTGCTTCTAGACACACCTGAGCTAAGGCATGTCAAAGAAACACAAAACAACATCTCAATGGTAGGGTACTTTCTTCCTATAACTAGAGTATACTAAGGAATGGCACTTGACTTCCACTGGATTTTGCCTTCCATTAATATAGGTAACTAATGAAACTCTCTGCTCAAGTACGGAAGGAATATTTTCTTCTTATGCCTGTTGAGGGAGTGTTTGCTAACTGCATATGACTGTAATGAACATTTTCAAAATACTAATAAAAAGTTTTCTAACAGTTAATTGTCTGTTCTTTTGTTTTTTTTTTTTTTTTCTTTAAAAAAGTACACACCTCATTTGAGCATCACACAGTTTGACTGGATTAGGTGACACACTTCACCTTGTGCCTGTGCACGTTCCTGGTTTCTGCGTGACTTTTGTTCTTGGAATGAGTTGTTTTGTGTGCATTTGCTTGTGTGAGAATGTTTGTCAATTAATTCTTTGATGATTAAGACTATTTAAAAAGTAAATATGCATAATCAGGGGTACTACCTTTATAACTCCTACTAATACTGGTTTTGTTTCAACACTCGGTTATATAACTTTCTACCCTAATGTCCTTGTTTATTATTTCTTTTCTTTTTTTTTTTTTTTTTTTTTTTTTTTTGAAAGCAGGCTCCTTAGAATAACTGCAATTCTTTCTAAAAACCTGTTTAAAGCCAGCTGGCATATGATAAAACAAAAGAGCAAAAGAGTAGCTTCTGTATGAAACTGTGTATAATCAAAATTCTCAGTGAATGAAAATACTTGAGTTCTTTTTGAGTTCTTTAGAACTATTACTGCTGTGGCATTTTTTACTGACAGATGTAGTTCTCTACATCAGTAGAGAGCTATCCTATCTTGAGAAGAAGGGAATGGACCAGATGACCTCCTGAGGGCTTTTCCTGTCCTGTGTGACTGTAGGATGATGCTTTGCTGCTTGAGTTAATGCCTAATTCAGTGGCAATGGAAAACAAATGCAAAAATTATAATAAAATATCAGGAAATCAAGTTAGGGAGATAGGCTGGATGGCCAGCCAGGTCTTTTCTATCTCATGTGTGTAACAATTCTATTATGGTGCAAAACCCAAAGAATGTAAGTGCCTTATAAAACAAACATGTATGTGTTCCTGCATAGAATAACCATTTGCTGTCAGTTGCAGCTTGGGGAAAAATGTAATTCTTGTTTTCCTAGGTGAAATACCATGAAGATTTTGAGAAGACAAAGGGCAGAGGCTTCACCCCAGTGGTAGATGATCCTGTAACAGAGCGTGTACGGAAAAACACCCAAATTGTGAGTGATGCAGCATATAAAGGTGTGCATCCACATATCGTTGAAATGGATAGAAGACCTGGAATAATTGTTGGTAAGTTGTTAAGTACTGTTGCTATTGAAAACACTGTGGGGAAGATGAAAGCCTCTGCTTGTGTTCTCCATTATAACCAAGAAAAAGAACTCCAGATTTCGTTTTCACTCTTTTCTCAGCATGAAACTCGTGTTGAACTACTGGTTCAATGCCAGCTTCTAGTGAAGTAATAATGGGAATGAATGGGAGATACATTATAATTTGCTCTGTAATTTTTTTTTGAAATATGGATAGTCGTTGCTATTACTTTAAGTTTGAATTTTGACTCGTCAAGAAAGGCCAAAATATCTGCAATAATCTTCATTTTGTACAGAAGAGAGATGATTAAAGCTGTGATTCTCCAAGATTTCAATGTTTAAATGTTGCAGAGCAATTTGAGATTTCCCCTTCTGTCAGTCAGCCAGCAATTTCTCCAGAGCTGCACATGCTCCATTTACCTCTTGTTTTAGAATTTCACACAGCTTTCAAAATATCTTAAGCTGTAATTCATCAATAACTCATTACACCTCTGGTTAGCCAAACACCAGTGTTCAGAAGTGATGTTCTAAAAGATGGTCCAAGATAAGACCAGGTGTTCAGAGGGTAGAATACAGATTGGTTTTGTGCGTAGAGACAGAGTATTGCATTAAGATATCATTTGGGGTATTTATAATAAACACTATTTCAAAATCAAAATGGATATTTTATCTTAAAAGTTAAAAATCTTAAAAAGTAGCAAGTCTGCTATGGCAAAGGAAATGGCAACCTGACATTTTAATTTTTTTCTCCTTTCTTTTTCTTTTGGTGTGTCCTTTTTCTGTTTTTCTGTGCTTTATAACAGTGTAGACCCCAGGGGGTCTACATATGGAAAAACATGCTGAGATAGCACTCTAAAATCCTTCGTTCATAGTAATAATAGCAAGGGTTGACTTTAAGTCTACCTCTCAAAAATCAGAGAAATTGCAGGTCAAATGGACTAATCAACAGGTCATGTAGTCCATCCTCCTGCCTAAAGCAGGGTTAACTATATCTATATCATTCCTGGCAGATGCTTCTTCAGTCTTTCCCTTCAAGTCTCCAAATGAGTCTCCACCGCATAAAGAAGAGTATTTCTTTCCTTTTGTATAGCCATGTTTTACATGTCCGTAGCTACAGCCTTATGTCAGAAGGGATTTCTCAAAAGTGAGTATTTAGAGAGCTCTGCCTGGGGAAGGTACTGATGCCTTTAAGACTGTGCAAGTCTCAGAGGGTCACACATTCTGGATCTAGGGCAACAGCTTGTTCAGAAAATCATTGTCTGTAGAGACCCAAGCACTTGAACTCACTTCCATAGCTAGAATCGGTGCAGCCAAAGAGAGAGAGAAAATCTCCTGCAAAATTGCAGTTTAATATACAGCTTGCAATATGCTGTTTAGTGTGCACTTCAAACCTCCTACTCTGTACTGCATTGCACGTGTGCTGTAGCCCTATGTAAGAATCATGCGTGCAATCCTGTGTTCAATAACTGAAGGCTTGCTAGCACAAACAGGTTAGGATTAAGAATATTCCTGAGATAAATTCTTGAGCTGTAAGTAACAGAAATATTAGTACTCTTTATCACCTTAAAATATGCCAGTATCAAAACACACAGGAATTCTTAACTCCCCATGCCCGCCAAACAGCAAAAATAGTGCAACTATTTAAAGGAAAGAGGCCATGACAAACCTGTGAGCCTAATATCCAGGCTTATATTTCAGCTAATGCTTTTTCAGAGTGAACTGCAATTATAGTATCTGTTTGTTTAAAAAGAAGTAGTGAGCTCCATGCTCATGGAATGTCCTTGGCAGCTAGAAAAAAAAATCGCAGACTGAAAAAAACAACTATGACTCTTTTGAGTTTTTTCCTAGCTGATAATTATTCAGCCAGTTAGGAAAAGTACCTCTGTGTTAGAGTCCATCTCGTTGGTTTTTAAAGTATTATCGGTGAAGCTGTAACAACTTTTTCAAATGCCCGATTGCTAAAATTAATGCCTCTGCTTTGGAAAATAGGCACCAGTTTTAACTAAGCTAAAGCTGTTCTAAACCCATCAAGATAAATTAATCTAACTGACCTTTGGATATGTGACTAAAGAGGCTCCATGATTCTCATGTGAGTATACGGATATTTTAAATTGGCAAAAGATACCAGGAAGTTAAAATTGATTGGTGCTATAAATTGCCAAGACTCTGATTCTATGTATGTTATTTCAGATTACAGAGATAGATAAAATCAATACAAATCAACGCTGCACTGATGCTGCCATGTTTTTACTTATGTAAAAACTATGTTTTTACTTACTAAAGCATGATCAAACAGGAAAAGTTGGGCATTCACCAGTTCCCCCATGCCTCTCATGCCTATCAGTGCTTTATGTAGTTGCATAATTTATCAACATTAGGACTAACACATAGTTTATCAAAAGATTTTGCATTGGCTTTTATTCATCTTGTCAAAAGGGGGTTAGCACTATACCTCACCTTGTGGGAGTTGCAGTAGATAATACATAATGTACATACATTGATTGTATTCTAAAGCCATGGGATTTATTTTATTAGCTCTGTCTGTTCTTTCCATTGCCTCCAGGCTATTAATCATTTGAAACATGACATATTTGGGGTCCCCACAGTCCTACTTTACCTACCAACCCATTATTTAGCTTGGTACCACTCGAACCAGCAAAGGGACCAAGTTGGGAAGACAATTATTTTTCCCACTTCCAATGCATTGAGTAAATCTTGCAGACAGGTCTGCCCAAGAAGCAAACCACTAGTAAAAAGGTGTGATTTGGTAGATTTGTGCTTTAACTATTGTAGTTTACATCAATGTTTTATTTTAAACTGGTTTGGAGAGATTAAATGATTATTATATTTTTAGACATAGCAGATATGAATTGTATATATTAGATTGATGTGAGTAGATCAAGAATTTACACTGTAGCTGCTTCTGTATCCGTTAGAAACCTCCTTTTAACTTGTACAACACTGTAATTATTTGTTAAAAGTTTATTAAAAACATGGTTGAATCTGTATTCCCTTTTCTGCTGTGATTATAACTTAAACTCGGATATGAAATTAATTATTTCTTATGGGCTCTTTTTTCTTTCAATATCCAGTTCAGACATGTGAATTCAAGAGGTATTAATAACTAACTTGTATGAATTAAAGCTGAAGATCTTACGGTTACTGCTGTTATTGAATCCATACATTGAATTCCAAAAATGCTTTTCGATAGTGGGGTAGTGGATCAACAGTAAATCTGTGTCCCAGGAAACCTAGATATTTGGAAGACAAAGGGAATTACTAGTTAAGATCAAAAGTGGGCTTCATTTTACCCAACTGTAAATGCCTGCAATGTAGATTTCTACAGCTGAATTTGTCATCATAGTCCGGATTTTGTATTAATTAAGAAAGATTGATTCTTTTGAGTTTATATTAATTGAGCAACTTGTAGAAATTTATTTTGGATAAGATGAACTATGCCCCTAATTCTGCTTATTAGGCTGACTTGATCTCTATTGTACGCAAAGGAGGACCTGTAGTGCCTGTGTCAGCTGTAGAGACGTATACTGCCAACTGTCAGCTATAGGGATATATACTGCAGCATCTCAATTGAGTAAGGATGCTGTTGGTGGACTGGGGAAATAATCTTGTAGCTCTGATGATTTTGGTTCTTCTATTGGAAAAGAGCTCTTGTATGTGATATTTAACTTGTTTCCATTTATTTAGACTTAAGAAAATACTATGGTCATATTTAGAAAAGGAAAACAAAAATTGGGAGAAAAAGTCTCCTTAAAATAATGTCAATGCTTAAAATGAATGCACTAATTTCTTTAAAGCGGGAAATTAATGCTTTCTGGTCCTTTCAGGTGAATACTTAGATGTTTTGGTTAATTTCTAGATGAAGGGAATTGGTTGCTGATTGTTAAAACTCATTCCTTTTATGCTTTTACTTCCTTTGTCGTTTGTCTGTCTTATAATTTCTGTGCTTTGGGAAAAGATCTTAAAGTTTGGCGCACAGATCCTGGCTCCATCTTCGACATTGATCCTCTGGAGGACAATATTCAGTCTAGGAGTCTGCATATGCTTTCTGGTATTGCTTATATCCTGACTTTTCCCCAATTCAGCTTTTTATGTTTATGAAACTAAGTTGATACAGTAAATTTTCAGGTCAATGTGCCAGCCATATGTTTTATAAGTATGTTTTCATATATATATATATAACTGTAGTATTTTAAAAGCAGTGTTTTATAGGAACTTCAGCTGTAATCACATGTGCAGATAAAAAATAGTGAAATAAATCTTATCCTAAACAGCAGTTACTCATACCACTTACAAGTAGTCACTTAAAAAGCATTGACCTACTTTGTCCTCACTATAAGTAGAATTTTCATATAGTTGTACCTTACTAAAATTTCAGAGGTATAGAAGGTGGCCTATTTATGAAATTGATTTCTTTTCTATGCACATTTTGCTTATATGGCACATGGTATTATGCCTTGCGCTGTTTGCACAAGGTTGTTTGCATCTCCAAGGTGTTCATAATTTAAGGATAAATGGAAAAGGAGAGAAGGTAATGTAATAATATGCAGCAATGTTTTGGTTCTACAAGTTTTGGGATTTTTTTTTTTCCCCCCCTAGAAGTGTTTATTTTGAATGTTTAATTTTGCACATGTATTTTCATTGCTACTAAGAGTGGAACTTTAAATATTCTTTTGAATGTCGTACAGCAGTATTTCCACATGCACTTGTATGCATGTTGGGATGAAGGAACGTTTGATTTTCTCAGCCCTACCTTCCATTTCTGCTATTCTTCTAAAGCAGAGAATAAGCTTAGTTGTATCTGATTTTGAAGCAACCTTTTGAACTAATGGTGTTCAAAATGGTTACAAAATCGTGAACAATTCACTTTTCTCTAATTTTAATGCCATCAGTGTATGAATATCAATGTTAGCAGTGTTGGGGTTTTTGTTGTTGCTTGTCTTTGCACTTCTGTCATCTATTTACTGTGATATTCTTTCTTTCTACCTTTGTAGAAAGAGCAAGCCGTTACAGTAAACAGTATTTACATTCTACCAGTTTGGGAGATTATAAATCAGATGGCTCTGACACGAACCCTACCTTTTCTTACTGCAGTGAGATAACAAGGCCATCTGACGAAGGAGGTACCCCTTATTCCCACCTTTTTCACTAATGACACTATCACAGTGTGTTGAGACCTCACAGGCCTGTATTAACTCTATATCCTTGTATAGTCACAAATCATTAGAAACTATGTAAGCTATTGCCTGATTAATTAAGGAAGCAAAGCAAAATCTCAAGACTGCACAGTTTCTTGCATGCCATATTGCTTTATTGTGTATTCTGTTTCACCATTTTGGTAAAGCTTAAGCACTTCTCTTACTGTGCTTAAGAGAAGGTGTGTGGTGTTTTTGCAAAACGTACATGAATTTTTTTTTTTTTTCCCTCTCGAAAGACATAATGTAACTGAGAAAAATACACCTCTGAACTTAAAAAAATAAATTTACCTCGTGCTTTTCAGTGGGCAAATCAAGCATAGGATAGTATTTTGGTGACTGAAGTACTTCTTCCCGTATTAAACTATGCAGGTCCTTGTGGCTCTCTGTTCCATCCTAAAAAAAAAAAGTGTATCAACTGGCAACTTTCTCACATATGAAAGTTTTCTTATACTCCCAGTAGTTTGGGAACCGGGGTTAATATTTAGCTGGGAAGCTTATATAGTCTGATATTGTTTAACATAGATTAATATTAGAATATTTTGTGGAACGTGCATTCCCAGGTACAAAACCACATCTTGCATCTGTTTGATGCCATAGATTAGAAGAAAATTTATGAAAATTATGAATAAGGGTCTAGTCATCCTAGTGGCATTACAGTGTATACTAGGCTTGAGTGGTGATTGTAAATATTCAGAAACGTTGCATTCTAAATATGTATTTTAAAAAAAATAGTGATTTCTACTTCTCAGTTGTGAAAGAAGGTGCATTGAAAAGGTTATCCAAAGGGTTAATAATTTTTTTTTTTAAGAAGGTGTTAGAGTAAAGATATTGCTACCATTTAGTTGCCTGGCATCCTTGAATTACCCATGCTTTTAGAAGATTTTAAGGCATCTTAATTGTAGACTGCACCTGTTTATGTTCTCCCACTCACCAGAGTAATGTGTTATTGTGGTGGCTAGTGGTCAGGGAGTCTGTGCTGTGTTAGGTGCCATGTAAATACATACAAGCAGCTTTGATTAAGAACGGGTGAGGAAGAAAGTGTTTGGACTGAAGAGCTAACTCTGAAGAAAAAAAGAAACATCTTTGACAGAACTGTAATCTCTTATATCATGTCTGTTCCTCTTTATTTGATATTTTAACTATATTCCCAACTCTTTTAATAGATGATAGCAATAATGCACATCATGCTGGTTTTTATGTCTCTTCCTGTGATGATGCGAAGTGGGCTTCACAGTCCAGTGCATATTGTCTCTCTATATCTGTTCTGATCTTTTTTGGCTCTTTTCCAAGCCATTTTAATATTGCTTTGTCAGCTCGATTTGATTGTTAACAGATATTTTTTATTACTTGCATATTGAGAATAGGAAATGGACTTTATTTTCCTGGTTGTTTCAGCACTAGCAAGCTTGCTTTTTGTGTCTCTATTTAAATCTATTGTTGTGGTGATATGTTGGATAGATCCTTGCCAAGATCAACATATTTTAGAAAGATATTGTTTCTGCTTTTGACCCAGCTGGCTAGCCAGGGTTTGAGCACTTGCAGACAGTTCCCATTGCAGGGGAGAAATAAATGCCAGAGCTAAGTAATTTGACATAATCCTAATGATTTACAAGAAAATGCCATTTCTGTGAACACACTCAGAAAAAAACCAGCAGAAGATAGCATCTTTGGTCAAAAATACCAACCTTTTTCATGGCAGGATCCTACCCAAAATGTTGTTTAGCACATAGCCACAAGGTGAGTTTGTCCTTGATCTTTATACAGTATCTTGTATGGCATACCACAGTAAATGAGAACCAAATCCATTTTGCTGAGATTTCATGGCTGTTTCTCATGGAGTTTGTACTTTTAGATCTAGCAGTGTTTCTCACTGGCAATTGTTCAATCTGATGGCGCGTCAACATGAAAGACAGCTGTGAGACCTGTGACCAGGTTTACAACATCTGAGTGTCTTTGGCCTTCTCTCATCATCTTTCAGACATTTCTACATTGTTCAATTGTTAATTTATTCTAGATACCTTTACTGATACTTGACCCACAATTCAATTCTTCCACTGCCACTGCTGATGGAATTGTTCCTTAGCCACCTCTACCAGCCCTTAGTTGGGTCCCTGGCTTCATACCAGATGTTAAAGGCTTATTCAGATCTAAGTACTCTCTCTCTTGTCTTTTGGGGAATTTCAGTAACAACATCACAGGGAGGCTACTAACGTTGTTCACTAAAATTACTTCTTCCTATTTGATTCCCTGACTATTATTTTAGATGACTAGGTTGAGTTGAGCCAAGTTTCCCTACAAAATCAGTAGATTTTTGCATGACGTAAGTTCAGTAAAATCCCTGTTCTCCCTTCAGACTACTGCAGGTAAAACTGGATAGGAACCAATTGTTAACGCTTTCCAGCATGCCTGTTGCAGGTGATGAACTTTCATTTTGATACTCTTTTTGAAACTACTTTTCAGCTTTGTCTGTCCTTTTTGTAGCTTCTCTCTGTTAGTGTTTTTCAAGGTTGACTGTATTATTTCATGCTATCATTGAATTTTTTTTTGCCATACTGGACAGAAGGTGTTGCACTAGAGCTTCTCAGTCTGCCTAAATGCTTTGTAATTAATTACTGCCCTAACAAAGATTTCCTTTTTACCTGCAAGCCATTCTGTAGTACTTCCCAGAAACAGTTGGGTGCCACATTAGTTCTTGCAAAATTCTCAGCTGTTTTTCAAGTAGTTATTTTCAGCTTGGCTAAAGAGGAACAGAAGCTAACGATTTCTCTATTTCAATCCTGCTTTTAACACTGGTGTTGCAACTTCTCAGACATGGAGCTATTAATTCATTTTTGGGAAGGTTTTTCAGATTATTTTCACCAGAAAGAGAAGCTGAGGTATATGGATGTCAGATTTATTTTTGTTTATAAAGACAGACCAGACAGTTCCTTCTTCACAGAACACTGTAGAAAAAAAGCAACAAGAGACAGTTTCTTTGCTTTCAATTCAGGTCTTTCTAGACAGCATTGTGTCTGACAAATTTCTCAGCTGTTTTTTTTGGAGTTTCTTTATAAAGTCTTTTCTGTCTGTCCTGATTTTCTGTGCAGTCGTACACACTTTTTCTCCCAGTTCTTTTCACACTCACTTTCTTGTTCCGCTTCCTCCCTTGCAAGTAAGGTCCCATCCTGTTAGTTTATATTCAGGCACCAGGAGAGGATGATCTGGTTCATATGGCTCACCGCCTATTCCAGTCTTGCATTGTTTTGGACACTTGTATTTGTATTTCAACCATCTACTCTATGAAGGAGATGAATTGCTTTTACATGTAACTCCCATTTATGTATAATTATGGAGTTTTTAGTGTTTGATGACAGAAAGGAACACAGGTATCATCTAATTGGAATTCTTGTATTCATGGTCTCTGTGGTGTTTCTCAGAAGTTGTGCTAAAGCATGTATTTTTATAAAGATATCTTCTCCTATTTTAAGGTCTCCATATAAAATTAATCTACTGTCTTTTGCTAGTAACTTACTTCAGTAGGTGAAAATGGCATTTAGCTCACATCCTCATGGCTCAAGACTCTTTTGTTTAGTTCCATTCCCCCAAAGGCAAGAGTAAAAATGCTTGAAAATAGCAGAAGTTCACAATATTGGAGACTTTTTTTTTTAAAAGGCTTGTTATTTTAAAACACTTTCTATATATATTCTTCTCAGTAGTTCCATCTCCGGAGGCTGAGGCAGGGAAAGGACTTTTTAACACGAGTGCGTTAATATGTGGTACGATGTAAGATACGGAAATGAATTTGTGGTATATGATCCAGTGCCAATCCCAGAAACCAAGCTCAGTTGCTCAAAGCTCTGTGTGTGCAGGTATAGACAAACAGTGGCAAGATAAAGTGAAGGCTGCAAGTAAACCTTTAAGGATAATTAATATTTTTCTTCAGGCCCATTGTTTGTAGTAAGCAAAGAAACAAAATACTACAACCAGAGGAAATTCTGGTTTAGGATTAAAATGTTGAACAATTTAAGTCTTTGAGAGCACAGAAACTTGTTCTTAAGGGAGTTGACCTCGCGCCTGCAGGGGTCACTCAGCTACTACTGGAACAAATTCCAGGCTTTGCCATGATGGCAGGGAAGTGACTGTGCATATTTGTGTACTACTAGAACAGAGCATCCTGATGACTGGCCAGATGATAGCAGATGAGCCATGGCACCGCTACTACGGCTACCGTTTTTGTCACTTCTGTTTTGCATTGTTCTTTGACTTGTTTTGAGATGAAGAATTCCTCTTAGTGTGTTTTGAATGAGAAGACCCATCTGCACTGAAAGAGTATCACTTGTAATTCTCATTTCACTGTCACTTATTCTCTCTCTCTCTCTCTCTCTCCCCCTCCTCCCCCCCTCCTCCCCAATTATGCAACGATTTGTGTGCACATTTTGTTTTCATTGTATTTCAGTGAAAGTGTTTTCCTTAGGGTTCCTCCTTTTGTTTTAGTTTTCAAAGCTCTTTTATGCTTTCCTTCAATCCTGTTTCAACTGCAGAATGTGTTCATTTAATTTACTAATATTCTTCCTTCTCTCCGTTTTCACTTTAATTATCTTTCAATTTATTGTATCTCTGTGGGGCTTTCTGTTTAGCTCTCTCCTGTTTTTCTTTGATTTAAATCAGCAGGATTTTATTTAATATTACCAAGTTCTGCTTTCAGTCTGAAGGTTCCCACTTTAAAATGATCTTAATGAACATCCTGCAATAGATGAATTTAACTTTTTTTTGTCCCTGATGCACCCTTTTTTTCTTTTTAGTTGAAACCTTTTTGGTTGGTTTTCTCCTTTTGTTTTTGACTTTCCCTTTTTTGTCTTCTATTTCCTCTTAATTTCTAGTTTAATTGGTGTGCATCAGCATATATATGTGATATATACTTTTTTCCTTACCATATGTTCAGAATT